GCGACCGGCAGCGAGGAGAATGCTGAGCAGCCCCCCGATGCGCCGGAAAATCTCCCAACACGCAGCAGAGCTCAGACACCCCGAAGTGACGGGTTGGCACCAGGCTCCAATGGAGCTGCGCCCTGCCCTCTCCTTCCGCAGTGCCCACAGGACACTCTGATTTCTAGCTGCTCCATAAGTAGTGGATAGCTGAGATCAGGCCCAGGGAGGCGTCCGGCAAACCCGTTCCCTAGGCCGCCGGGCCCGCCCCACGAGGGACAGCCGGCTCTTTTGGGAGTAGCAGAGTCGGGCGGAAGTGACGTAACTTCCGGCGGCATGGGCGGGGCCCCGGCCTCCTTCCTGGGATATCAGCGGGCCGCATGGAAGGTGCGTGAAACTGGCCGCCGTCCGGGGCGGGTGGGAGGCGGGAGCCGTGCGTGGGGCGGGTTCCGTGCATGGCCCCAGCCCCGGCCCGCGTGGGCTCCGCATCGGCCTGGGGCGGTCAGCCTGGCCGAGCCTCGGTTTCCCCTGCGTGGGCTCCGCATCGGCCTGGGGCGGTCAGCCTGGCCGAGCCTCGGTTTCCCCTGCGTGGGGCGGGACAATGTCTGCGAGAGGCGCAGGTCCCGACGCTCCCGTTGCAATCGTCCTTCCAAATGAGCGTCGCGGAGCCGGTGCCCCGACCTCCCCGGGCAGTGCGGGCTCGGTCCCCGCGCTTGCACCGAAAGCTGCCATTCGCGAGCGTGGTTCTCTGACTACCGGGTCCCCCCAGATGCATACACACACTGTCAGCTGGTCTAGTCAACAGAATGCTTTCCTGAGTCCTGTGAGCCTCTCTAGCAACTGAACTACCCAAGGGAGGGGTCTTGGGAACTCCCATCCAAGCAGGTAGGTCGGAAGCACAGGTAACAGCCAGCCTGGGCTTGCTGTTGGCATGTGAAGTGGAAGGTTGGGGGAAGGGACAGGCTTGTAGGACTGAGCCCTGAACCTGCGGGATCCGAGGCCCTTTCGGGTGAGAGTGTCAGAATTGAGGTTACTGCTCGGTGGTGATGGAAAACCACACTGGAGAGGTCCTTGGGATAACATTACGCTGGATACTTGCCAGTGCCAGGCCCTCACAGCTTGACATACGTTATCTAATCTTTACATCAACTCTCGGAAGTAGATGTATCGCATCTCCGTTTTACAGATGAGAACATTGAGGCTCTGAGAGGTTAGCTAAGGTGCCCAAGATTGCACAGCTGGCAAGGGCAGAGTTGGGATTCTAATCCAGTCAGTATGGTCTTCAGCGTCTAGACTCCAAACTGTACCACTGTGTGTGCTGGACTCCTTAAGGGGCCTCCCACAGAATTTGGACTTTATCCTGTGGGCCAGAACCCTTTGAAGGGTTCTAAGTAGGGAGGGAGGGAGGGCAGGGGAGGACTGGAAGAGAGCTGGGTTTTGCCGGTCTGAGGGTTGCTTCCCGCAGTCTTGGAGCATGGGCAGCACTGGCCCAGGAAAGGACAGAACTTTCCAGCAGAAAGGGCTGCAGGCGACTCCACTTTCCAGGCGCTGCCAGGAGCTCATTTTAGCTGTAGATTAAGGGGTTGCGGGTGGGGGTTGCGGTGGAGAGGAAGCCAGGTCCTGAAGGACTTGGGACTGCCTCCTGCGTCCTCAGCACCGAGGTGGCCTCTGCATCTCTAGGGCCAGCCTGGCCATGTCTGGAGAAGCACGAAGCTCTGATCGAATGTGAGGCATCAGTGCCTGAGGCAGGTGATGGGAGCACTGGCTGGGGCATGGAGGGCTTGGGCAGGAAGTCACACTCTGCCTTATCCCCAACCTTTGAAAATGGTCCCAGTGCCCTGGCGCAGTTGGTTGGAGCATCATCCCACACCCCAAAAGGTGGTGGGTTCAAATCTCGGTCGGGACACATACCCAGGTTTCGGGTTTGATCCCCAGTTGGGGTGTGTGCGGGAGGCAACCAATCCATGTTTTTTCTGTTTCCCTTTTCCTCTCTCTAAAAAAAAATCAATTAAAAAATAAGAACAAAGACATTCATTGAAAGTGGTCAAAGTGCTTAAGGCAAAACTTTGTGGAGCCATTAAGTTGGGAAAGGGTCCAGCCATCTCCGGAGAGTCTTAAAATGTAAAAAAAATTGTTTTTCCTTGTTCTGGGAACTCCCCAGTCATCCGTTCTTCTGTGTTTCCACGCTGTTTGTCCAGATGTAGCGTTTCAGATCGGCTTACAGTTGAGATTTATGAGGACATTTGCCCTCCAACTATGATCAAGAATTTCACAATAACTATGTTTCTTTTTCTGCCTGTCAGCAAAGACCCTTGGAAGTGCAACGCCCCGGAAACCTGTCTTATCCGTTAGTGCGAGAAAAATTAAGGACAATGCAGCCGATTGGCATAATTTAATCATGAAGTGGGAAACCCTCAATGATGCCGGCTTTGCGACTGCAAACAGCATTGCCAACATGAAAATCAGTTTACTGTAAGTACTGCCCGAGCTCCTCCGAGCTCCGCACCCTTACTGCTTGGGCACACGTTTTCAGGGGGGTCCCTATGGACATGGATAAGTTAAATTCTATTAAGTAAGAAAGTGGTAAAGCAGTATATGAAGTGTGAACTACATGTGCACTTAAGTACAAAGGACACTACGTGCTGACCATGGTTACATCTGTGCATGAAATGATTAGAATGGATTGGTGGGACACAGGCTCAGCTCAGGACATTGGTCTCTTCTAGGAAGAATGAGTATTGGGGGTGGGGTAGGTAAAGGGGACTTTATCTTCATGAGGTTGCATTTTATCTTGTGCTGTTGTGATTTATAAGAAAACCATATTTGGTTTTCCTCCCTATTCCTGATACACAACTCCGAAAATCCTTATAATTTCCTAGTTGCTAAGAGCCATGGGAGAGTGTTTTGTTATAATGTTTGGTATTTTGTCCTCGAATAGTCCCCGTTCCTGAAATAGCTTCAGAGTGATAAGAGTGTCCGCTCATTCGGAACAAGCCCCTTCCCACCACATCTGAGTTTATGTAACTTTTGGTGACTTTTGGAAAGCCCCCAAGGAAGGGGGTGGTTGCCAAGGGAACCAACCAGGCCATTAGAGGGTTGCACTTTCAGCACCACCCCTTTAGCATC